CACACAGAAAAATTGTCTTAAATACGGGGGGGAGCCATATTGGACCAAAATCAACAAAAAACAAATATGTCTCGAGCCGCAAAAAATAAAAAGCCTTATATTGAAGGCAACACATGCTGTATGTATCTCTATGAGCTATATTAGCCTGCTATCAACATGACTAAGTTGGCTACAAATACACAACGAGCATTCATGATGAAAAGTTTTTTTTTCCCCTGCAGTTCATCCTGTAGAGGAGGGGTGCCTAAACTTTTTTGACGGAAGATCTAAAGAGATTTTCTTGTTTTTTTTAAACACACTTGCAAAACCCCAGTGGAACGAAAAAAGACAACGTGGACAAGACAGTTATTGCAGTAAAAATATATATACCGTATTGGCCCGAATATAAGACGGCCCTGATTATAAGATGACCCCCTCTTTTTCAATACTCAAGTTGGAAAAAAGACTTTTTGAACACCAAATTAATTTTTATACAGAAAATAATTACAGTACATCCGAAAAAAATGATTATAACAATATGTTTGAGAGAAAAAGCATGTTATTTTGCCTCATTCAAATCTAAAGTGCAATCACATTCGTAAATGAATGGCTTCTGGTTTTTGAAATGTAAATTAGATCATAACTTCTCCTCAGCTGCCGGTTAACCTGGCCGATCTTCAACCCACTTTTCTCCAGATTGTGACTACATTTCTCCATTTTCTGCTATCTCTTCTATTATTTTCTTCTCTTTTCCTTTTTACCACTATTTTTTATTTTTCTTCTTCGTGCTACCGCTATTTTTATTTTTATTCATCGTGGCAGGGGTTCACTTTGGCCTGGGGAGTCAAGTTCAGCATTCGCTTCATTGATATCTGGCGCGATCTAGCATCGTGAATGGGTATAACGTCTGGACCCCGAATATAAGACGACCCCCACTTTTTCAGTCTTATTTCAATGCAAATACACCGTCTTATATTCGGGCCAATACGGTATTTAGACAAAAAAAAAAAAAGGAAACACACAGAGTACGAGATAAAAACGTGTCCGTTTGGCTTCGAGCGTGGTGTCAGCTAGGCTAACTTAGCTGTTGTCGTTCTCCAAAGCTTCCTTGATGTGTGAGGTCGGTTGCGTCGGCGCTGATTGGTTGAAACCAAAAGACGTGCACGTGCGTACATGTTCGCGCTTACGCACGCACACCAGAGAGCACCGGACTATCGACTGCTGAACGCGCTTCACTCGAGTGGGTTCGCTACAGATCTACTTTTCGAACAGATGAACGAGGCACGGGACGCACTTTCGCAGCGTGCTAAATATCGTAGCTCATGTGTACCGTTTAAAAATGCTTCTCTTGGCCGCCCAGATTTCCATTCTTTGCAAGTACCCTCAGTGAATTGTACATGAAAGGCAGCTGGGGGTTTTTTTTGTTGTTGTTGTTTCCCGCCCTGCTAATACAAACGTGTCGCAGGCTATGACGCAAATATTCGTTGACAAAATGTTGACATTTAATATTTATCCGACACATTTTTACGGCATCGGAAAACGTTAATCATGTTTGTGTCATGTTTGTCCTCTGACAGAAACCATATGAAAACAAACAAACAAAAAAAATTCCCTCCCATCTGTTTCCTTTTTCAAACATTTTTGAAAAAGCTCTAGGAGCCACTGGGGGGTGCGAAAGAGCCGCATGCAGCTCGATAGCCGTGTGTTGCCGACCCCTGGTCTAACCTGACATAAATCAGCTGCACCAGCACACCTCTCAACGAATTTTTTTTTTTTTTGTTTGTTTGTTAGTTTTTCTTTTTTAACTTTTGTTGATCAAGGTAAGGTAATTGAGAACGGATTGTCATTTGCATAGCCAACCTGGACTAAAACAAGGCAAAAGAAAAGCTAAAAAAAAGGACAAGCAATTTAGAGAATTCATGGATTATTTAACTACCGTAATTTTCCAGACGATAGAGCGCACCTGATTATAAACTGCACCCACGACATTTTTAAAGGAAAAAAATTTTGTAACACACATAAGCCACACCTGTTTATAAGCCGCAGGTGCCCACGTTGTAACATGAAATATTTATGAAGAAAGACGGTACACAGAAAGCATTTTCAAATTTTTAATAACATACTTTAACTTTTCTTTCTAAATAGTGCCTCTAACACGGCAGCACCACGGCAGTAAAACAGCGCTAACAGGGCGTGTTAAAAAAAAAAAAAAAACATAAAAGTCACTGTTCGACGTCAAGTAATGTTTTTTTTGTTTTTTTTTTTTTTTTTTTAAATGAAAAAAAAATCCTTGCTTGCCGCAACACTCGGTCAACCCTCCTTCATTAGCCTTTGTACCATCCACGCTTTCATGTCAACTTTCACAACAATGTCTTTCAGCAGGGTTATTTAGTCATTTATTTATTACGGGGGTGGGGGCGTCGTAATCCTTCGTGGATGCAGTGCAGCCCAAAACACAGGTGAAACGTGCCCTCTCATGGCCGGTTGTTTCCAGTGTGACAGATGATAGCGCGCAGCATGTGTGTGTGTGTGCGCGTGTGCGTGTGTATCAACTTGTCCCACTCTTATCTTTTATGACTGAGCGCCCCCTGGCTGCCATTAGAACAATCTTTACATAGGCCGCTTCATTAAATAGGCCCGCAGAGTTGAAAGCATGTGACAAAAGTCGCGGTTTATAGTCCGGAAATTACGGTACATGTATATCAAACTGTACAGTTTGTTGTTTTTGTGTTTGTAATTGCTTTTATTTATTTATTTATTTATTTACTCTGCTGTCAGGTCGACATTGCAATTGAGAATCTGACTTTGGCTTAACCCTTTCATGTAACCTGATAACATGATAAGATGTCCACTGTAATGACCGCTGTCCCTGAAAGGGTTAACACAGCTGTGTAACGGAAGCGAGGCACTCACACCGGTTTTCCGTCTGCAGGTCATGAAAGCTTTAGAGGAGAGCTACCGTCTTCCAGCCCCGATGGACTGCGCCCCAGGCCTCCATCAGCTGATGCTGGATTGTTGGAAGAAAGACAGAGGAGAACGCCCCAAGTTTGATCAGATAATCAGCATTCTTGACAAGATGATTCGGAACCCCAACACACTAAAAACACCGGTCGGAACGTGTACAAGGTGAGGAACGTTTAACATGAACATCAAATTCGGCTATGTTTCTCCCTTTTATTTGTTGAAATTTTGAGAAACCGATTGAGTCTGTGGGGTGGCTTTAAAGGACTTCAAAGACATAGCAAGGCCTTATGAAACATTATGCAGTTTCATAATATAAGTACAGTATATTGCAGTATTAGTGAGGGGTTGGCAACCAAAAATTCTCAAAGAGCAACTTGGTCCTGCTTGCCAATAAAAAGAAGCTCACAGGAGCCACAAATCCCTTTAAAATGAAGATTGACAGTACACCAGAAACTGAATCTTAATAATACATATTTGAATTTGAATAACTAAAGTTGCATTAAAGAAATTAATTTCACATAGGATGAATTTGTATTGTTTCGTTTGAATCTTTGTATTAAAAACCTGAATCTGAATTGTACAATTCCAATTGGAATTCAACCCAAATAAGTTGAAACTAAATGTTAGACAATAAAATGTTGGGTTTTTTTAATTTCTCTAAAGCTGTATTTGGCCCTCACATTCAGTTTTACAAATACAAAAGATTTTTTTTCCACACAGATGCTAAAATTAGCCCTCACATGCAAGACTATATTTACTTCCATAAACATTGTGCAACATACCGTATTTTCCGCACTATGAGGCACACCTAAAAGCATTCATTTTTCTCAAAAGGCGACAGTGCACCTTGTAATCTGATACACCTTATATATGGATCAATATTCTGATTTCTTGGACGTGGAATTTTAAATGTTCCGTAAAGCACTTTGTTACAGTTGAAGCGATTGTGAAAGCTCTCGAAAAATACAGCTGTGTATTGTATTCTATTTTATTCCCTTCAGCATAGCTCCATCTAGTCGATGCATAGTGCAACCGGAGCCACTATTGTAGCTTCTATTCAATGTCAGAATCAGAATCATCTTTATTGGCCAAGTATGTAGAATTCACAAGGAATTTGTCTCCAGTAGTTCAGGCTGCACTAGTGCCATCATAAACTAGGACATGACAAATAAGCATGGAAAGACATTCCCGTAATGTAAGGGTACCGTTGTGCGGTAGTACCGCCCAATGACAGCCGTGAGTCAATGTGCAAAGTATCAAGCAGAGCTAAAGTGATCAGTGGTAGAATACAATACTATAACAGTTGTAACAGTTGTGCAGTTGGTGCATTGAACCATTTTAAAGTGACCAGTAGCAGTATTTGTAGAAAAAGTTTAAGTATGCAATGGTACAGATGTCCTTGAGTGCTTTAAATTGTCTGGTGCTGTGGAATATAGATCAGTGACAATGGTTCAAGTAAGTACAGAGGTGGAGCTACAATGATTATTGCGGTAATGCTGTTCCACGGGGGTGTGCAAAATTGCAAAGAGCCACGATACAGGTAGATTTGGGTTACTGTTTAGGGACTTAATGGCTAGACTAGTGAAGAAGCTGTTTGAGTGTCTGCTGAATTTGCTGCCAATGGATCGGTAGCGGTTGCCTGAGGGGAGTAGCTGGAAAAGGTGGTGGGCAGGGTGTGAGGGGTCCTGTCGGATTTTCCGTGCCCTTGTCTTGGTTCTTGCGGTGTGCAAGTCCTCAAGAGTGGGTAGGGCGGTGCCAATGATTTTTTTCCGCCGTCCTAGCTGTCCGTTGCAATCTTGCAACCTTTTTTGTGGTGACCCCAAACCAAACCGTGATGGAGGAATACAGGACTGATTCGATGACTGCTGTGTAGAACTGTCTCAGCAGCTCCTGTGGCAGGCCGTGCTTCCTCAGCAGGCTCAGGGAGTACATCCTTCCTCTGCTGAGCCTTTTTCAGGATGGAGTTGGTACTGATCTCCCACTTCATGTCCTGGGAGACTGTGATTTCCAGGAACTTGAAGGTCTCAACAGTTGGCACAGGGCAGTCGGATAGTGTGAGGGGCAGCTGTGGTGAAGGATGTTTCCTGAAGTCCACGATTATCTCATGTGCCTGAAAGCAGCGCGCCCTATATATGAAAACAATTTTAAAATGCACCATTCATTGAAGGTGTGCCTTATACTCCGAAGTACCTTCTCGTGCGGAAAATACGGTAATAATTTATTTTGGGGGGCGGGGGGGTATACGCCATACGACGATTTCTGCGTGTCATATCACGGATGTGATGTGTTCACATTCGAAGTCGCATTTGATTTTGTGATAGAGAAATCTACGAGCAAAATTATACCATGTTTAAAGTTTCATTTAATTTGGGCATGTCTAGACGTTTTGGTGCGTTCTCAGCTCCCCTAAATGCCTGTGTGCAAAGGTATCGACCTAGGGGCCGGATTGGGGGCGTGGTATGCAAATATCGGGGGCAGTGTTTTTCTTGTATTTTGCAAATGTAAACAATAAAAGTGTGATCACGGAGCAACTGGCCGTCGTTCTCTCTTAGAGATCTGCTTCCGCCGATCAGAAAGACAATCTTCCCTGTGTGTCGAGTCATTTGTTTAACTTTGTCCGGGTAAAAACTCTGACATTTTGTCACATGAACGCGTATATATTAAGTTCAGATTTAACAAAAAAAAAAAAAAAATCCAAACTGGGCCTCATGGCCTGCAGTGTGAACGCGGCCTTAAGTGAAGCATTCTGCTACTTTTAATCATTAAAAAAAAAACAGTCAGCATTTTGATTCTCCCGTATTACTTTGCACTGACATTTCTTTTCACACCTCACGACCTTTTATGTGCTCATCCCACAGTCCACTGTTAGGTCAGAGCGTATCCAACGTCAGCGCCTTCCACTCAGTGGAAGAGTGGCTGGTCGCCATCAAGATGGAGCGATACAGAGACAACCTCACCGCAGCTGGCTACATTTCCCTGGAATCTGTGGCCAGGATGTCAACTGAGTAAGTAGAGGGAAGTACTTTCACAGCATCTTCCGGCAATTATTCCTTCTGCGTGCAGTGTGCACTGCCTTTTTCTTTTTTGGCCCCCAGCATTTTGCATCATCTTATTGATAATACCGTATTGGCCCAAATATAAGACGGTGTTTTTTGCATTGAAATAAGACTGAAAAAGTGGGGGTCGTCTTATATTTGGGGTCCAGACATTATACCCATTCACAACGCTAGATGGTGCCAGATATGCTGAACGAATGCTGAACTTGACTCCCCAGGCCAAAGTGAACCCCTGTCATGAGGAATAAAACTAAAAATAGCGGTAGCACGAAGAAGAAAAATAAAAAATAGCTTTAAGAAAGAAAAGAGAAGAAAATAATAGAAGAGATAACAGAAAATTGAGTAACGTCGCGACAATCTGGAGAAAAGTGGGTCGAAGATCTGCCAGGTTAACCGGCAGCTGAGGAGAAGTTATGATGTCATTTACATTCCAAAAACCAGAAGCCGTTCATTTACGAATGTGATTGCACTTTAGTTTACATATTTAAATGTTCAGATATTAAGATTTGAATGAGGCCAAATAACAAGCTTTTTCTCTCCAATATATTGTTATAATCATTTGTTTCAGATGTACTGTAATTATTTTCTGTATAAAAATTAATTTGGTGTTCAAAAATTTTTTCAAACTTGAGTCTTGAAAAAGAGGGGGTCGTCTTATAATCAGGGCCGTCTTATATTCGGGCCAATACAGTATATCAGAAAGATAAACTTATTTTTCTCGTGTGTGTAAATTAATTTGAGTATTTTGATTATTTTATAGATGGTGAGCAGTCTGGGGTTATTTCATTATTGGACCGAATATCAATTCCGGTTTTTGTTTGACTAATGGATGTGTTGTCGTGTCTTCCAGGGATGTCGTGCGGTTGGGTATTACACAAGTGGAACATCAGAAAAAGTTGATGAGCAGCATTCAGACAATGAGAGCTCAGATGTTCCACCTTCACCATACAGGTGTTCAGGTCTGATGACAGCAAACACAGATGAAATGTCTGAAATGGAACCTCGTTTGACTCAGAATACAGGACATCTGATATCATACTCCTGGAGCTGCACCCAGAGTGGAAAAAAAAATGGACAGCAAGTAGAGGAAGAAATGCAAAAACCACCAAAAGCAATCTCTCTTATTTTCTTTTTTTTTTTTCTTTTCAAATGAACACATATCAATTGCATTGAAAACAATGGTTTTAACTTCATGACTGAGGCGCCTCCATTTTCACTTCCGTCCCGGACCATCGTTAAAAAAAAAAAACATTCTGTCCTGCCCTGCTCACGGTGAAAACAACTCATCCTGCGCCACCTCCCTTTTTATTTTGGAGGACAACTACAATAACAACAGCTGCGCATTTGTGCAAGTTTTATTTTTCTCCTTCTACTGGATAATCTCTCTCCCATGAACATTTTATCATCAACCTCTCCCGCACCCAATGGTAATATTTTTAAAAAAACAAAAGGCTTTGTCTCTACTTTGAGGGATTCTTTTTTTCCCCTCCCTCTCATTTCTTTGAAATGCCGTCGTGCGTAAACGATTCATACTTTCTTCTACTTAATTTGGAAACAGGGTACACTCAGTATTGTTATTTATGGAGAGAACCTCCAAAAGGTGCATTTTCTATGGACACGTTCGGAGTCGATGTGAAACTCAATGTACAGCTCTGGACAAGGTTTTGTCTTCAAAGACATTTTCAATTTGACTCTTTGTCAACGTGTGCAACGCTGATATTTTTCCAGATGGAACTCCTTGACTCTTTCTCAAATTAGCAATACGATAAGGAGTCATCACAGACTTCTTTGAACCATCCACCACCTCCCACCCCATGACCTTGTTTTTCCATCATTTTGCCAAAATGGCGCACAGTTCTGTGTGGGTATTTCAGCTGCAAAATATTGTATGTATCTTAAAGATCGGGAACGGTGGACGTAATACTGCCTTAAAAAAAACTGTTGGACATGTAACTGCAGTGGTACCTCTACTTACAAACGTCTCCTCATACGAAATTGTCAAAGTTACGAAATGCCTCAAAAGGAAAATATTGCCTCTTGTTACGAAAGAAATTTCACGATACCAAAGGTAAAAATACAACATGGGCTGGTAGTCGCAGCTCCCAAGTTTCCTGAACGCAACATACTTCTAGCTGCTCTACCATTGGCTATTACCTCGCATCTTCCTGACATCCCATTGGCTAAGAGGGACCTCTACCAAATGTGTCTATGTGTGTACATAGATAGATCTGTGTCTATGCGGCGTGCGTCCTCGTCATTCGCCTCTCGGCCGGTGAGGCGTTCGGTAGTTTTACGGAAATGTGAATCTCCCAGAAAAAGTGTTCACCAGTCGGGCGATCGCTCGCTATGCTGATGTTTGCCTTGGACATTTTTGAAGGATTGTTAAAAGCTGACAAAAGCAAACGTCCTTGGATCAGTTCTGGACAAAACGCCAGGCAATAACCACTTCTGAGAGAGAACATCATCTAAAGAGGGAAAAAAAAACCCGATGAGGACGCAGTTAAGTTAAATTACCATCGTTTTTATTCTTTATTCTTTTCTTTGTTTTTTACATTATGCACAACTTTAATTTATTGGGCAATAATCTAATTGTAACATGTATTTGTTCCATATTTTGATGCATTTTTATGCTTGAGAAAACATTTTTGACTGCATTTTGAGGGGGCTTGGAACGGATTAGGGCATTTACATGGAAAATGCGTTTCTACTTCCAAAATTTTCTACTTAAGAAATTTCTTCCAGAACCAATTAATTTTGTAAGCAGAGGTACCACTGTATTGTTAAAAACGCTTTCTGTGTCATTCTGTTCGAGTGCTTGTCCATCGAGGTGGGATTGTTTTCTTTTCCTTGTCGCCGAATCTTGCACTGCAAGAACACAGGTGAAAGCTAAAGTGCAAAGAAGGGATGAACTAAACAAAGCAATAATTACCAGGATTTAAAAAAAAAAAAAAAGAGCTTTCAAAGGTGCTAGTTATGTGTGTTAAAAGGAGAAGTCCCCTTTTGAAAAGCACCGTTCAATCACGACAGAGTTTATATTTGTATCCACCAAACTTGCTGCCTGATAATCAATACAGGGTTGTGGTATTCAAGAATTTTGCCAAATGGTCAGAGGGGGGATTTTGATGCGCAACATCTGCTGTGTTCATTCTTTACGACTGCCGTGGATGTGAAATGCGTTTGCTTTGTACGAATGTTACAAACTGGAAGCTTTGTAGCAGATAAATACTGGCAAAACAATTTGCCAGTTTAGTACCCTCACCCTTCACCTCAAACCACCAAAACATCTCTGGTTGAGTGTTTACAAAGTCTTATCTCAGAAAGATAAGGAAAATCCGTTATTGCACTAACTTGTTTAAAAAAAAAAGAAAAAAAAAGCATCCCTTGATTGACTTACTACTGAAATATGAAACAAGCAAAAAAAAAAAAAAACAAATACAAAAAAAAAAAAAAAAAAAAAAAGAGCAATCATAGGCTTTCTTCTGTTTTGGCGCTCCTGCTCTCATATGGTGTATTTGAAATATTCGTCAGCTGGTGATGAATTCAAAAGGCAGGGAAATAAACCAGATCCATGGAACTGTTTGTTTATTTTACCGGTCCTTCATCTTCTCCCCATCTAAACTTGACAGCTACTGTCACCCCGGTACAAAAGCGACAAGGCGTGCTCATTTCTAAAACAAGCTTAAGATTGTCCCGGCCAGCCTATTTAACCCTTTCCGGGACAGCGATAACTATAGTGGACAGCTTATCATGTTATCGGGTTCCAGGTTAAAAGCAGACCGGAGCGTGTCCAGCTTGGAAAAGCAAAATTGACAGCAATTTAATAAATGTCTGGATTGTGGAAAGAAAATCTACTAAATTAAACTGAACCGGAAACTCGAAATGAATTACTATTCGTCTCTACGCCCTTCATCAGACATGAGGAGTGACCTATAAAGTTAAAAGTATATCACTATAAATATTTCCAATATCAGTCGTCATTTGTTTTGTTTTCACAATAGAGTCCTGAGTTTTGATTTGGACTTTTGAGGTCTGCACAATAAATGCTCTCAAAATTACATTACAGTTGATCTTGTGTGTGACTTTTTTTTGTGTGTGTGCGGAATCACTTAAGCTATGCTTCTAGACAAAAAAAAAAAAATCGTTTGCTGCTACACAGAATCAGAATGTGAATTTAAGAAATAAAAACAGTTGACAGTCGCTGATGGTGAAGTGGCGTACTTGCCTGCGGGCAGCATGGGATCAATTCCCACTCAGTGAGGGTGTGAATGGTTGTTCGGCTCTATATGTACCTTGCGACTGACGAGCGACCAGTTCAGGGTGTAGTCCGCCTTTTGCCCGAAGTCAGCTAGGATAGGCTCCAGCAACCTCTTATCATCACCCCTTATCCCAAAGAGGGCCACATAGGGGTGCTGGAGTCTATCCCAGCTGACTTCAGGCGGAAGGCGGGCTACACCCTGAACTGGTCGCCAGTCAGTCGCAGGGCACCTAAAGAGATGAACAACCATTCACACCCACATCCACACCGTCAATGAGTGGGAATTGATCCAACGCTGCCCGCACACAAGTCCGGTGAGTGTACCACGACACCATCAGCGACTACAGACAGTATAATAATTGTTTAGAAAAAAAATACCGTATTGGCCTGAATATAAGCCGGTGTCTTTTGCATTGAAATAAGTGGGGGTCGTCTTTTATTCGGGGTCTAAACATTATACCCATTCACGACGCTAGATGGCGCCAGATATGATTGAAGCGAATGCTGAACTTGACTCCCCAGGCCAAAGTGAACCCCTGTCACAAAGAATAAAAATAAAAATAGCGGTAGCACGAAGTAGAAAAGTAAAAAAATAGCGGTAAGAGAGAAAAGAGAAGAAAATAATCGAAGAGATAAAAAGAAAATGGAGAAACGTAGTGACAATCTGGAGAAAAGTGGGTCAAAGATCAGCCAGGTTAACCGGCAGCTGAGGAGAAGTTATGATGTAATTTACATTTCAAAAACCAGAAGCCGTTCATTTACGAATGTGATTGCACTTTAGTTTACATATTTAAATGTTCAGATATTAAGATTTGAATGAGGCAAAATAACATGCTTTTTCCCTCAAATATATTGTTATAATCATTTGTTTCAGATGTACTGTAATTATATTCTGAATAAAAATTAATTTGGTGTTCAAAAAGTCTTTTTTCAAACTTGAGTCTTGAAAAAGAGGGGTTCATCTTATAATCAGGGCCGTCTTATATTCGGGCCAATACGGTACTACTTTACGGATTTGGAAAGTGAAACCCGTGATAAACAACGGACCACTGTATTGCCATATTTTTATTGTTTAATAAAAGCATTGGTTCAGGTGCATGGTATTAAACTTAAACAAAAAATGAAAATGTACAATATCAGGTTTTGTGTCTGAAATCTTTGATCAGCGTATTCTAAATAACCAATTGTCGACGTAGTTGTATGTTGACATCTGCAGCATTGCTGCTTGATTTTATTTCGATACATAGCAGAGAAAAAAAAGATACAATAATGCAATTTTGACAAATCTCGATTGGGAATGGTTCTTCTCAATGCGTTGATTGACACTGGCCCTGCGAATCTCAGGGTTGAATGCCTCTGTCAGCTATTTTGCGTGTGCCGGAGAAACAGCTGCTTGAACCTAATTGAGATTACTGTCATGGTTCTGTTTGTGGCCAACAGGTGGCACTGTAGGGCTCCGCCTGCAGCTGCACACCTGTTGGTCATTGTGTCATTAGTTTGTTTGTTTAAAAGGACTCCCAGCACGACCACTCGGTGTCTGCTCATTGTTGCTGTTTCATTGTTGCTGTGTGCACGTCTCATGTTTTTTGAGGTGGTAGTTGGAGGACCCCAAAAAGCAGGGAGGAGCAGGGTGGAGCGACCAAAATGTATTTAACAAAAATGTAAACAGGAATACACTGGAGAAACTAACTCCAAAACTCACTCAAAAAAAGTCCAGCAAAATCACAAGAAATCAAAGTAGCAAAAAAAAAAAAAAAAAACCTAAAACAGAAAAAACATGACACGTGCACACAGCAACAATGAAACAGCAACAATGACCCAACACCGAGTGGTCGTGCCGGGAGTCCTTTTAAACAAACAAACTAATGACACAATGACCAACAGGTGTGCAGCTGCAGGCGGAGCCCTACAGTGCCACCTGTTGGCCACAAACAGA